AAATCCTGCAAATGGTCCCACCGGCGCTGGGGAGCGCCCGAGGCTCTGGGAAAGGCCTGCTTTCTGCTTGGCCTGTCCGGCCACCTGAGACCTGCATCCTGTGCCCACCCACCCACCGTCAGGCGTTGTCATTCCAGCAGGGGCTCAAACCTGAGACTGGCCGGCACACCCGTAGACCACTCATGTTTCTACCTGGCCTGGCCGTGACCCCTGGCTCCTAGAGCACAGCGCCTGTTCCTCAGAGCCAGCCCCCAAGGCAGCCTGTTTCTTCCCGAGAAGCAGCTAAAGGCACCTCCAGCCAGCTCTCCGTGCACCAGGCCTTTCCGCGCCTTGGAAGGGTGGGCCTGGTGACTGCGTTGCCGTGGGGCTAGAGCAGGCCATGGCTGAGACTTGTCTTCACAACAGCTGGGTGCAGAAATTACAGCTTCCTGGTGACGATCGGCCCCACTTTGCATGGCAACACAACGTGTTCCTAATGACTGAATTGTTTATTTAATAAAGAAATCACAACCATTTGGAGGTTTAAATATAGCCTCTCAGAAACCCAGTGAGCTCAGCTCCTGGTGGCTGCGTGGTGCTGGCACCGGCCCAGTCTCTGCACCGCACGAAGCCTTAAGCAATGGATTGAAAAAAAAAAAAAAAACTTTTGCAAGATCTCTTGAGTTTCACTAACCCTGCTGTATTTTCTTGAGTCTCTACTTGGCGTTGAATAGAAGAAATTGGTTGTGTGAAAGGCAGAAACAACTTGCAGGTTCTGAATCAAATGAGGAAGGTTAAAGGTTGCAGGCAGGGCAAATGGGAGGGGACCCCCCCCTTTCCCTGTCTCCTGGGGTCCCCTTTGTCCTGGAGCCCCAGGGAATAGCAAGGGTGGATCCCAGGGGTGGTTCTTGGGGACTGAAATACAGATTGTCCCATTTGAGATCCTTTTAGCTCAAAACAGCATTCAGAGCCAGCAAGCCCCTACGACTTTCCAGCAAAGCTGCCCTTTCCCTGCCTTTTTTGGGCAGTGAGGGCTCTGTTACTTAGGCTTTGTGAAAACCCAGGGCCCTGTCTTGCTGGGGAGCTCTTTGGCCAGAAGCCATATTCCTTAAGTTGCCTGAAGACTCCATCCTTACCGCATGCCCCGCCCAGAGCTCAGGCCACCAGGAAAGACCAGGAGACGAAGCACAGTGTACAAGAGTTTATTTAATGATATCTGAATTTAGTTCTATCATGTGGAGCCCACATTACAAGTTCCATCTGGGTCCATTACAACTCTAATAAAAAAAAAAAAAAAAAGGAAAGAAACTTAAAAAAAAAAAGAAAATCCACAACTTTTTCCATGTCATTAAATATATTCATATATAATAACCATAATATATTAGTATGCATTGGAAAGAACACTGACCCAAACAGTATGTCATGGTCACAACTAAACATTTACAATTCTGAGTGAACAGAAATCCAAAACACAGGAGGGCACCGAGGGAGGCTGGGAAGTGTGTCTGGGAGCAGGGAGGGAGTCCAATGGCACAGGAGTGGGCTGGCTTGGTTTTTGGCAGGGGGCGAGGCCCCACGAGTGTGCACTTTGATACCCCCAGGGTGTGCCATGGCTGTGGCCCACAGGAATGTCTGTCCATGAACCAGGGCTCAGTGGCCCCATCAATGTGTCTAGTCTGTCTACTCTCTGGGCTTTAGCGGGGCTTCCTCTAAGTGTTGAGAGCCTAAATGTTTTTCAGTTTCCTAAAGGAACCATTTCCCAATGCCGTAGAGTCTCTCCTTGATTCCAGTCTTATTTCAATCTGGGACAACTCCAAGAAAGTCTGTACCCATTTCCTGCATGCTATGACTGAGGCAGAGTTCCAGGAGGTCACTAAGGTTTGGGGCAGCTCCTGACCTCCCTGGGCTTTGACCCCAGATGTCCCTCCCTCCTACCTCGTGCCCTGCTTTCTAAGTACAGGAGCCGTGGACAGAGACCATAGCCTGCAGGGGAGTCCAGGGGACAGCCCTGTGTCCTTCCCCCTTCCCTCCACCCCAGATCTTCAGCATGACTGTGTCAGCGCGGCAGGCATTCAGCTGTCAAGGGCACCAGACCACCCAGCTGGTAAGAAAAAGGAAGACTGGGGAACCTGTTTCAAAAACAAAGACTAATCTGGTATGCGTTTCTTTAAACACCTACATATCACAAATCTGGTTAATACACTCTTCAAAATCAAAATCTAGTTCCGTTTTACATCCCTTCCTAACTGTACAAACCAGAACACCTCAATTCCTATTTCCATCTCCTCCCTGGGGTGAGGGATGGGTGGAAGAGGGGTGCTTTCCCAAGGATGGGTCCTCACCGCTGAGGATGGTGGCTGCACTCAGAGGATTGGTGTGCTGGGCTCTGGCTGGGGACCATGAGCTGGGCAAGGCAGCCTGTGATGACTGCAATCCCAACAGTGACCTCGTCTTCATCCTGGCAGATCAGGCCACACTGATACATTCCCCAAGGGCCAGGCCCCTGGAGGACAGCTTTTGCCCTTGGGGTGCTGAGCCGGAGGGAGAGGCTGGAGACTGGTTGAATTTTCAGCAAGATGCCTTGTTGCTTGGCAGGCCACTGGCTCTGAGACCAGCAGTGCAAGCCCCTCACCAGACACAGGGTGAGACTTAGACCCAAGGTGGGATGGCGGGGCTGCCACAGCCCTCCCTGGGCAGGATGGAGAAGCCACACTGGCATAGACAGCAAGAGGACAAATGGCAGGCAGTGCCTTTGCACTCAGCAGACCATACCGGGCACCAGAGATGGGCTGACAGCTTGGAAAAAGGTCCCTGCCCTCAACCTTGGGCTTAGATTCAGGGACGCCAAATACCCCTTCCCAGGGCAGTTCTGTCTTCTCCCTGCCCCTGAGGTACCTCTGCCAGTCTCTCCTGGAATCCTTGCAACCATCCCCAGGCAGCCCAAACTACCTTTCTGCCACCTCTTAGGAAAAGCCAAGGCGTGCCTTCCTGGAAGCTGGGACTGCCCTCTAGCGAGTCCATCCCTGCCTCACCCCCCACTCCATTGCCACCTCTGAAGATACTACTATGCCCGGCCCCTAGCCCTGGCTCCTATTCTCCAGGCTAGATGCCAGGGTCTCGGGGGCAACTCCCCCGGGAGCACACCCTCCCGGCCTGTTGCAGGTGGGCCACAGAGCTGGACTGCAGCAAGGGCCAGCACGGCCTGTGCTCAGAGGGCCTGGCCCTGGACCCTGAGCCCCAGTCCTGCTGCTTACTTGTGGTGTGACCTTGGGTATGTGCACTCTAGTTTCCTCGCTGGTGAAAATGGTAAAAAATCCCCATCCCACAGGGTTGTCATGAGGACAAGCTGGGAGCATGTGGGTGAAGCGCCTGGCACAGAGCAGGTGCTCAGCAAATGGCAGCCGTAGCTCAGGCAGAAGTGACGGAGGCAGAGGGAAGCCAGACCACCGAGGGGTGAGCTTCATACTTCTTGGTATGACCCTTCTGAGCAGCCAAACTCCGGCAGGGAAAATAAAACCAATTTCCTGAAAGAGGGGAGCCAGGCCTCTAATTCAGTGTGCCGGGTGTGAGGACTCGGGCCAGATGCCCCCGGGCAGTGCAGAGAGCTCAGGAAGGCAGGGAGCCAAGAGGCCCCAGGGCCAGGAACGGGTCCCGTGTGAGGCAATCAGACCAAAGGGGCTGCCTGCTTGAGGACAGTGTCTCCAGGAGGCTTTGGGAGGAGGGCTGGGCGCACCGGACAGCATGGGCAGCCTCTGCAAAGAAGCCAGCCAGAAAGGTGCGGGCAAGGTGCTGCCCAGGCCAGACCAAGACAGCTGTAGGGGCAGCCCCAGAGCTGGGGTGGTAGTAGCAGGCTGTCTTGGCCCAGCAACTTCTGTCCCTTCCCTGGGGGAGCCAAGACTGGGGGCAGCAACAGGAAGTGGTCATGGCTTCCCTGGCCCCCAGGAGCCTGGTCATTCCTGCCCCTGCTTGCCGGTGGCTTGGGCACTCTGGCACTGTGCTGAGCCTGCAAACCCTGTCCCGAGTCAAGCAAGCCCCTTCCCCAAGCCAGGCCCAGCTGCCTTCGCAGCCTGCATATTCCCTGCCTGGCCAGGCCTTTTCCAGCTGTTGACATTGCTGAGGGGCCTTGTGGGAGCTGATGTCATTACACAAATAGTGTCACTGCCGTAAACCCAGCCAGTGCCCCTTCCCCCTCCCCTGGAAAATATCATAAAAGGGGCTGGTTCCAAGTTTCCAAAAAGGAAACTCTCTGGGAGGTTTTGCCTTTGCAATGCCTCCTCCAACAGGCACCTCCAGCATGAGGTGGTGACCACCCGGCTTGGGCTTCTCAGAGGTATCCTTGGGCCCACTGCCCTCTGGATGGGCAGGGGCTTCCTCTCCTCTCTCTACAGATGGTGAACCCCCAGCCCACGACCCTACCCAGGAGGACAACTCGGCAGGTGACAGCGGAGGCCAGAGGCTGAATGGAGAATGCTGGCTGGGGGGGCTGCTGCCTCCTCCCCCAAGTGCCTGCCCAGCCCTTCAGATGGGGCCCAGGTTGTCCCAGCCAGGCGTCCTGTGGGAATTCCCAGAGAGAAGGGGTCGGGAGAAAGGAGGGGATTTTGTCTTTTGTGTTGGGGTGGTGGCTTGGTCGGGCTTGCCCGGCACCCCGCACAGTTCTCCTCACGTCCCCTTCTCCAAAACCATCCACCAGCCGTGTCTGGGGCCCCAAGGCAAGCTGCCCCTGGCCCCTCCATGGCGACCCCCCGCCTAGCCCCAGGGAAGCGCGTCTTTGCTCTGGAAGGAGCCCGTGAGGTAGCTACGTCTCGTCCTCATTTCTCCAGGGCCCGGCCTGCTGCACAACCCACAACCCACCCCGCGCACGCACAGCTCCGGCCGGGGAGCGTGGGGAGGGGGCTGGAGGCGGGGCCGCCAAGGGCACCGCCCCCGCGCCAGCTGCCGCCCCGCCCCCACCCTCCCCCAACTTGGGAAAGCCCTTGTGGGCCAAGTCCACCGCGGCTGCGGCCTGGGCCTCCCGCTCGCGCTCGGCCCTGGCGCCCAGCCCGCCCGGCGCACCGCTGCGTCCGCGCTAGGCCTTCTTGCACTTGCCCTTCTTCTCCCGCTGCTGGAACTTGCGCAGCCGCCGCGCCCACGTGTCCCGCCACTGGATCACCAGGCTGCTCTTGTCGGCCACGATGCCACTCTGGTCGGGAGAGTCCTCGGCGTTGCCCAGCAGCAAGTACTTCTTGAGGGGCTTGATTTTGGGGCACTTGCAGGCGATGTCCCGTGAGCGGATCCACAGGCTCTGGTCACCGCGGCGGATGCGGCTCGTGCCCTGCTTGTACACGGAGATGATGTTCACCGTGAACTTCCACCAGTCCCCCGCCTTGTCCGCCTTCAGGATGTGGATCTGGACGGCTGCAAGGAAGCACAGGCAGGCGGGTGGGCCGAGGGTGCTGCGTTGGTGCCCAGCTCCTGTGGCCAGGTCGGCCCTGCCTGCTCCTCCGTTTCCGAGAGCCCAGGGAGAAGGACAAGGAGACCCATCACTGGGAAGTGACTGCGGAGGGTACCCCACAGGGGAGCGGGTAGGTGGTGGCAAAGCAGATCCTGGAAACCCACCTGCTAGTACCTGGGCCAAGGCCACTGCTCCAAGAAGCCTTACTTCCTATTTTGAAGGTGCCACCCAGCACTGCCTTTGGGGACAGTCCTCTTCTTGGCCATTGCCAAGGCCCACTACGCTTCAGGAAGGCCAGAGGAAGCTACAGGTACTGATCCCCAGCACTCTGGTCCAGGGCTATCTGCCCAGGGCTAGTGATCTCAGTGACAGCAGTGCTGGCCTCTCCACACAGGCTGGAGAAGGGGGGGTCTCCTCCGGTGCCTGCATCTCTAAAGGCCCTGAGGAACAACACCAGGCCTCATGACACTCCAGATCCAGTCTCAGGAAACTATAATGGGGCCTCAGTGCCCAGGGGCAGAAGACAAGAACCTGCAGTTCAAGGTGGCCACGTGGCCACATGCCTTTTCCAGAGTGCTGGGTCCTCGTACTGCCCGCCTCCCATGCCTAAACTGTCGCTCCCAGGTGGCCTCCCTTCATCTGTGCCTCTCAAGTTCCCCAGGCCATTCCTCTTCCTTCCAATTCTATGCCAGTATTTTCCCTAGTGTAAGGGTGCCCATACTGGAGTGGGCATCAGAATCCCCTGGGGGGCTTGTGAAACCACACTCTGCCAGGCCTCACCCCAGAGTTTCTGATTCAACAGATCTGGGTGGAGCCCCAGAATGTGCGCTTCTCACAAATCCCCAGGTGGTGCTGATGCTGCGATCCGGAGCACACACTTTGAGAATCAATGCCCTAGAAAATGTTACTGTGTTATTTCTGCAAGACAGTAAGAGGTGATTTTAAAAAAGGAAATTCCTTAAAAAAAAAAAAAAAAAGAAACTTTGGTCTAGTAAGTTCAGGAAATATTAATACTAGGTTAATATTAAACAAAGTCAAGGGGTTTCTTACTGCAGGACTTTTCAGAACCTTTAATCAATGAATTGTGTGCATATATTGGTTTCCCAAACAACCCTGGCTGCAAAACTCCTTGGTTAGTCCATCTCAGGCCACCAGAGCCTCATGGTGCCTACTTGGGGTCCTACTAGGGGCAACAGGATCATTTCCCCCAGTCCAGGTGGTACCTGGAGACACCTGTGCCGTGCTCACCTCTGCTCAAGGGAAACTTAGCCGTCTTCCCCGTCCCCACAGAACAGAGCCCCTTCCCCTTGCTGAGCCACCTGCCATGCCCTGTGTCGCTTACCCCACTGAGCAAAGAAGCTTTGTGCCCTGGACTGGGCCACTTAGTGGACTTGAGCCCTCCTGAAAAAGGAGCAGCAGCCTGAAGACACTGAGACACAGGCAGGCTCTGCGGCTCCAGCACCAAAAGGACATGTCCCCAGGTGAACGCCCAGTGGTCATCACACATCCCCACCACTTACCACTCCAGGCAATGGGTCCACCCCCAGCTCAGCCCACCCTCCCATGCTGGCCAGCTTCTCTCAAGGTCTCTGGGGGCCACTCTGCTCTTTCACTCCCGGGGTACCCCCTACTCTTCTCCTGTGCTCAGGGGTATGGGGAGGGGCAGGGACAGCTGGACCCAGGGGCATCCATCGCCATCCGCCTCATCCTTCTCGGGCGAGGGAAGTGGTGGATTTTCCCATATTTTCATTTCAGCTGTTCCTGGGCATCTTGAACTTTGCACTCCAGTCTGAGGACCCCAAAGAATGGTTGCCATGGCAACCGTTTCCATGTTTTTGTCACCAAGGGACTCAACACTCAGTGTGAACTCTGGGGTGGGGGGAGCCCTCCAGCCCAGAGAAGTGGCTGGGCCATGTGTATTTGACTGTGCAGACGGAGGTCACCGTGGCAACTGAGTGCCCCTTAGCTAAGCAATGGGGAGCCATCCCCAGCGTCCCTGAGAGCCCTGGTTTCCTCTCCCTGGGACTGAGCTGAATACAGAATGAGCCTCCCTGTGGCTGCTTCTCTGTGCGGCACCCCAGATCCGTGGTGCAGCAACAGTGTGCTCCCAGCCTGCCTGGCCTGGCCCAAGGATGCTACAGAGGGCACCTCTGGCAGGGACCCCTGGAGAATACGGCTTTGATCCCAGGCCCTGAGCATCTATTGGTGCCATGGGCTGCAGGGTGTCCCCACAAATTCACATGCTGAAGCCCTAACCCCCTGCACGTCAGAGCGTGATTATATTTGGAGACACGGTCTTTACAAAGGTAATTAAGAGGAGGTCCTTAGGTTAGCCCAAATCCAGTATGACTGGTATCCTCACAAGAGGAGAGAAGACCGCACAGAGGGAAGACCACGTGAGGACACAGCGGGATGGCAGCCACCCACAAGCCAGGAGAGAGGACGCAGAAGGAACCAGCCCTGCCACACCTTGATCTCAGACTTCCTGTCTCCAGAATTGTGAGAAATAAATTCCTGTTCTTTAAGCCCCCGAGTTTGTGATGCTGTCCTGGCAGCCCTAGAAACTAACACAATAATCTCAGGGGCCCCGAGCATCTGGGGCCTCCACTTGGGCCAGGAAGGAGGGCAGACCTGGGGGGCGGTTCCCAGCGTTGCTGAGAAGAGGCCGGAGAGAAGCCTGGCCGAACGCCTAGCCTGGGACTGCCCCCACCCCAGGGGACCTTGCCACTCCCTGGGGTCCTGCAAGGGCATGGCCCTTCATCATAGAAGGGCTGATGACCCCCACCCCATCCTCCCTGGCCTCTTGGCGTCCCCCTCCCATCAGTGAACGCCCTGGAAAACCAGCCAGTGCAGCCAAAGTGGCCACCTGCCCCTGCGCCTCCCCAGGCACAGCCGGCACAGGCCTGAAGGGGAGAAGCCCTGAAGGGTGCCCTCCCCTGGACGTGCTGCTGGCTGCGAGAATCCAGACGGACAAAGCAACTGGCCCTTGTCCTCTTTCCACCCGGAGAAGACCCCAGCACTGCTGGGGTGGGACAGCACAGGCCCGGGGCAGGGGAGGGTGGTGGTAGGATTCATGTGACTATGCTGGAGAAGAGCCACATTTCCGCTGCCCTTGGCGACGCCTCCGCACATTACACAGCCCACCAAGTATGAGCTGCACATGCGGTGCACGGGCCAAGTCCCACAGTGCACATGCAGCTGAGAATATTCAAAATACACGTTGCAACAGTGACCTCGAACAGACCTGCCCTGTGCCCTCCGGGAGCACGATCATCGGCAGCCACACGGCACACCGCGGGGGCTGCTGTCACCTCTGACCGGACTGGGGTCCTCTGGGCTACATGGGGCCCAGGGCCCTCCAACCCAGATGTGCCTATGATGTCACCCAACCAAGGGGCTGGGCACGGTGGGCTATGGGCAGCTCTGCCCCATCCTAGGACCACAGCCCCAAAGCTGGGCCCCTCATACCTGCCATGGTCTCAACGTTGGTGTCCCCCCAAATATATGTATGTTGGAACCTAATACACAACGTTAGAATATTAAGACATAGGGTTTGGGGAGTGACTAGTCACGAGGATGCCACCCTCACAAATGGAATCAGTGCCCTTACAAAGCTGGCTCCCTCACGCTCCGCCACGTGAGGACAGAGCAAGGCAGCGCCGTTTCTGAAGCAGAGAGTGGCCCTGCTGGCACCTTAATCTTGGGCTTCCCAGCCTCCAGAACTGTGAGCAGTACTTTTCTGTTGTTTATTTATCACCCAGTCTAAGGTATTTTGTTATAGCAGCCCAAACTAGCACACACCCACACGATGAAACTCACCCCCAGCCAATTAGCCTCAGCCCTTAGGATGCCTAAACCCCGCTGTCCTCGCACTAATGTCCTAAACGTTGTCCTCAACAAGGCCAGAACACGGGGATCTGGTGAGGACCCCCCCCATATTCAGAAAGGAGGGATGTGAGATTACTCTCAGAAAGGCAGACTGTGAAGTCAGACCAGAGAGCTGAGAGCCGCACTGGAACCCCTTAAATTAGAGACAGTAGGTTTACAGGAAGAGGGTCGAGGCCTTAAGCCCAAATGGCCCTTCTCCAAGGCAGAGACAAGGGAGGCTGTGAGGTAGGCATGGCAGAGCCCCCCAGCCCTGCTGGGGAGGGAAGCCTGGCCCCCAGCCTGCTGGTGCTTCTGGCCCAGCTGTAAGTGATAAGTGGCTCCATCTCGGGGTCCACACCACACATTCATCCTCCGGTCATCTGAGCTCTCGCTCGCTCCACAAAGAGAGCCTGGCTCAGAACCGCTACAAGTGAGCAGATGTGTCCGCCCCACGGGGCTCTGCCCAGGCAGGGCTCTGTGCTCAGTGCAGACACAATCTGGGCTGGGACGTGGGAACCGGAACCCTTGGGGCTGAAGGGGTTAGGCTGAGAGCAAGGCCCTCCGTGCGCCGGCGCACCAGGGGAGGAGGCAGGTCTGCACACGGAGCAGATGCCCAGGGACAAGCAGGGAGAGAGTGCAGCTCCAGGAGGCTAGGAGCTTGGCCTCTCCTGGCCGGGTCCCAGGGTCTAGCTGGATTTGTCTCCTGGCCTTGCAGTCCATGAGCTGCCCCACGTCTGTACACTAAACCCAAACCTCCCTTTCCTGCGGCCGGCCGCAGAACTCCCTTAACAAGACTATAGGCGGGGGGGGGCAGCAGTCGCCCTCCTCACCAGTTCTGGGGTTCACAGGAAGTTATTTCACACAAAGAACTCTCTCAGCCACCAGGGCAGGGCCATCCATGCGCACTGACTTCCCTTGCTCTAACCTGTCACCCTGGCTGCCAGGGGCACGCACCTCACTCCGCCCCTCAGCAGAGGCCTGCACAGGGCTCTGGAGGGCTGGCTGTGGCTCTGATGGGGTGAGGAGGAGGCTGAGGGCTGGGCCGTGGGGGCCAGAGTCAGCGAGGGCAGCCTGTGCCAGTGTTGGGCTGGTTCTG